CACATCTTTTACCCAAGACACAAATGCACATAATTAGCATATTATAAGGACAGACGGTTCACCTTATCTGCTTTGTGAAACTGCTTCAGGAAGAAAAAACACAAAACAACCCAAACATTCTGACTGAATAAAATACTTGCAATCACACATCAAGAGAGCATCCCACAATACTTGACAAAATGTGGAAGATAAAAGTTTGACATGCACCCTCTGGGATTCTTAAAATATCAGAGATATCCATGTAATTTCTGTATCACATTTGATTATCAGAATGGCAGTCCACAGTGTTAATATGAAATGTGCAGAAGCCACTTAAGCACATGTGGGCTTTATTGGAAGTCCTACAGATCATATCAGCATCCTCCTTATGTACTGGGCATATTTATTTATTAACTTCACGCGTCCATGGAACAGTCCATACGGTAATGCTTGGGTCTCCTGGGCATAATTTAAAATATCTTCTTGAAAATAGGAGGTCTGTGTGTCCCATGTCACTGGGAACAGCTTCTGGGACATCTATGGTTGTGTTTGAGGGTCTCAGGATGAGAGAAGAGATGAGAATCTTGACTCTTGTGTTTCAGAAGGTTGATTTATTATATTATGGTATTATATGGTATTAAAATGTTATACTAAAATTATACAAAAAAGAATAGAGAGAAGGATCCATCAGAAAACTGAAAAAGAAAAGCAAAGAATGATAATAAATGCTTGTGGCTCTCAGAGAGTTCACACAGCTAGACTATGATTGGTCATTAAGTAAAAACATCTTACGTGGACCAATCAAAGATACACCTGTTGGTAAACAATGTCTAAACCACATTCTACAACCATCAAATAGTTATTGTTTACATTTCTTTGCTGAAGCTTCTCTAGCTAGAATAAAAGAAAAATCCTAGCAAAGGATTTTCATAAAAATATCATAATAACAGACATCAAGGCCAAAATACACACAAAGGGATCTTTAACTTGGTGCAAGCTCTTCCTTGGACTTCTCTACTGTGGGGCATGCTCCAGTCCCCACCTAAGCACCCAAATGCTCAGCTAGCACATACTGAGCCCTGGCAAGAGCTGCCAGCACTGGGGTACCTAATGAATTTAAAGGACAGAACTGGTCTCTGTGATGCCCAGGAACCCCTGGCTGGTGTCCAGGCAGGAGCAGTGCCTGCTCAGGGAGGTGCTGAGGCACAGAACCAGGAGATGTGTGCTTGCATGCAGCACTGCGAAGCAGGATGGGAGCACTTCACCTTTTTGGAGAAGGTTTGTTGATATTTTCTCGAGTTTATTTGCACAGAATGTATCATAAGTGAGTGATGATTAAAAAAGGTAACTCTGGTGAACAGCAACTGATTAGGCTGCAGAAAATTTTCATCCTGTCACTACAGCCTTCTGTTTCCCTCTCTGCATATGTCTAGTAGAACACATTAAGAAAATAACCTGAATACTGTTGTGGGTTTAACTTCTTGAAGAATGAGAAGAGATGCAGAGCTATCCTTACTAACACTTCAAATTCAGAAACTCAATAGAAGCTACAAAGAAATAACCCAAAACCTCAGGAGCATTTATGAAGAAGCATCCTCCAAAAAGCTCATTTTAAGGCCAAACAGCTCAAAGAAAATACACTTCAAAGACTTTTGGTATCTTCAAGTTCACTTCTTGAGGGCAGACATTAATAATAGGTTTCTTGGGACTTGCAGGCACTGAGGAGTGTTTGCTTTCAAAACCACTTTTGGGATAAATGGAAACAACCCCAGACAAAAGAGGGGAAAAAAAAAAAAAGAGCGGGGTAAAATCTTAAAATGCAGCTTTTCTCATTTCTGAGAAAAACGAATGGTTGGGTTTAATTCCATCAAGAGCCTTGAATTGCTTCTAGATCAGCTAATCTCAGCTTTTAGCACTTCAAAGTATTTTGTTTTCTCCAGTAAATTCAACTGCTGCAAAGGTTGAGCACAGAAACTCCAGGATTTGGCATTCACTCTCTCCTAGGAGTAAAAGCCCTTTTTTTTTTAAACAGTAGGTGAGAGTGGCTCTGCAACAGGGAAGATCTCAAGTATGTTCCAAACCTACATGCACAGATCTTTAATTAAAAATCACAGAAAATGCTTAGACACTGTGAACAGCAAGAGGATGTGAGCCCTGCCTTTCCTATAAATTAAGCAACTCCTGTCAACTACCAGTTTCTCTGAACACTTTGGGAAAAGACTGAAAATGCTTGATTCTAGGTGAACTGCAGTCCCTAGAACCCGTATGATGCAAGTGATTTCTAATAGGTTACTGACTATTTAAGTAGTTAAATATTTCACTTTTCTTGTTATGATCAATTTTTGGTTTTAAGAGCTCTTCTAAAACTTCACCCTTAATTGTTTTTTAACAACCCATATGTTCAACCCATCAATTTTACAATCCTTCTTTTATTTTCTAATTAAGCTGATATTGTTTACAAATTTTACTACTCAAATTGTAACACCATGGAAAATGCCTCCATAGAACATGGCTCTAATACAAAGGAAGTGGTGATTTTTGTAGAGAAGAGAGACACATAACCACAGTCCACTCCATTAAAAAAACCTAAAAAACCCAGTTGTATTGTTGTATCAGCTTCAGTTCATGCTCTTTGATGGAGCAGCTGGGTTTATACCAATCAGATATTTAGTGTTATATGTAAAGCAATGCAGAAAAGTTGGTGCTAACCCAAAAGTGGGTTACACTGAATTTGGAAGAGAAAGCATCATGCAGACCTGGTCTCCTTGCTCCTCTCTGCAAAAAAGCCTGATGTGAAGCAACTATGTGCTCACCTGTTCAACTCAGAACCAGTACTTCTGTCTCACTGATTCATCAAAAATTGTTCCCACTAATCAGGCTATGTGGGTAATGGAGCAGTAAACTCCCTTAGTGAAGTTTTTTCTCTTCTCTTTGAAATGTCTTGGCCCATTCAAGTCTTCTTATAAAAAAATTCAGTTGCTGTCATAGCAGACCTCTCAGAAGTTCTCCAAATTTGGAAAATAGTGAGGTAATGGGATCCTTATGCAGTTTTGCCAGAAAAGAAATCCTGATAATTCTCAGAGAAGAAAACCACAGGTAAAATTCAGCCTTTTATCCATATTGCAAAGCTTTATACAAAATTTGCACACAGGGAATGTCAGAGAAGGCTCACCAGATTCCCTGACACCAGATTAACTCTTTCATGCCCACCATTCAAAGCTAAGAACTGCTTTAGCTTCCTATGTGAGGCACTGGGGGATTCTAAATTCTCATCCAAACCAGAGTGAGGATCTTCAAACAGAGTAAACCGGACTGACACAAAGATAAACCTACTCTCCCATTTCACCATCTTTCACTGCAAAAAAAGGGAGAGCAATTTCCTTTTTTAATAGGATTTTTTCCCTATTTTAGATATTTTACTGATTAAAGCTTTTTTTTTTTTTTTTTTTTTAAAATTAAAGATGCTATTACTGACAATGGTCACCACGCAAAAAAGCACCAGCAAAGAGTCTGTTATAATACCTGGAAATAATTCACTAAAAAGGAGAGAAACTCTGTGAAATGGAAGGGATGCAATTGATTTCCACTCCTTGGGAATAACCAATAGCTCACAAATTGCTCTGCTTCACTACACCACCCAGCAAGTACATGTTTGTCATTAAGTCAGGAGAAAGAGAATTATTACTGTATTTTTTACTCATTTGAGATCTTGCAGAGGTCAACATCATTGAAAATATCTCCACTCCTTAACAGTCACTCAGTTCTTGTTCATCTGCTCCTTCAAGATTTTCTTCTCTCCTTCCTTACATTTTTTGTAAAAAAATCACAATTTCAGTGCCAGTTTACTACTTTTATTCCAGGCCTCCCCAGATTTTCATACCCACGATTTTTTTTCAGCATCTCTTGATCCACTTTCACTTTATATGGGTAACAGGCTGCACAGGAAAAGAAAATCTCATCAACAGAAACCTTTTCACTTCTCTTCTGCAATCTAAAGCCCTGAATCCACTGACCCACTTACAAATTTCTTACTTACAAAAGGAAATGTTTCAGAAAAAGCCATGTTATGGGTTCAATACTTTACTGTCCAAATTATATTAATTCTGCCTTTTTAAAAACTTTTTTAGCCTTTCAAATTACACAGTCCACCACAAGGACTACTTGATACTATGACTACATCAGTACAGTAGCAACCACTTAAAACCACTGAGCAAATCCTGTTGGGGAACTCTTGCAACATCATACAAGCTCGACCACAGCGCAGGCTAAGTCTTGTTATTAGTAAAGTGGCAACTTCATGATTGCAAAAAAATGATGGACTTCCCTTATATATAAGGGAATATACCTAAAGTAACTACCTGCACAATTTGTGACAGGAAAAAAAGGTGGAAAAGCTGGAAAACCTCTGGGGGCCCAATGATCCTCTAAAATAAAGTATAGTAAGTCACAGTAATTCATGAAATGCTTTAAAAAGAAAGAGAAATTTTACAGAAAATAAAGCAAGAATTTAGAGGATTTTGTTGATTCTCCTCCTGACTCCAGACACACACTTATGGGTGCATGCTCACATATCCAATTAGACTCAGCTTCTCTAAAAAGATAAAAATCCCCCAGCTTATGAAACAAAGTAATTTAAACTGGCAGGCAGTTTTCCTCCAGCTGTTTGCAACAACAACATCTTCCACACTGTGTTTTGTCAAAATTCCTGCAGAAGGGAAAATGATCTGATCATGTACAAAAGAAATTCGATTCAGGAGAAAAGACTGCTACCCCTGTGAATAAAAGCATGGGCATTTGGAAACTGTTTCAGGCTACTCCTTCATCCACTTAATTTCAACTAAGACCAAAAAAAAAATCTGCAAATATAAATGTCTTAATAACCATTATAGGTCTGTGGTGGGGCTTTATTTGCAGAAACTCAGCCAGATCAGTAAGACAGGAGTGTACTTCAATTTTACACAAAAAATAAATATTTAGGAAAAAAAAAAAACTAGAAAGATTTTTGGTATTAAACTCCTTACCTGCTCTGCTGTCCAGTGGGCCAAAATCCAAGGAGTATTTTACAACATGATAGTTGTTCCATACATACAGGAGGTTGTCCCGGGGATTATAATCCACAGCAGCAATGTACTGGTAGGAGTTTGGAAAGGGCACATCCACCATGCTATCCTTGCTTTGGTCAGTGTTATATATGTAGTCTATTTTATTCCCTGTGGCTTCGTTGTCGTCATCTTCGTACACAGACTTCACCACATATAAAATCCCACAGATCATGAAGGCATTAGAAGCTGACCTCTTGTCATAGGCAGTATCCCAGGTCCCTTCGATCCTTAGCGTGTAAGGGTTCAACTGGCTAATGACTATTTTGCCATTATTTTGTTCTGTTGCATAGATTACCCAGAGCCCGTTCTCATCCACGGCCAGGTCTATGTCGGACTTGCCTCCCCAGCGGTACGGGGAGGTGTCATGGTAGTTGGCGTTGGCTATGATTGCCTCCCCGCTCTTTATCCTGGTCCGCAGGTCGAACTTGACGATGTTCCTGGTCCGCTCCTTGTTGAAGAACAAAGCCCCGTCGTACACCACGAACCCCGTGCCGTCCACCCTGTGCGGGAGCTTGTAGGTGGTGGTCGGCCTCCCGGCGATGAAGTCGTCCTTGGAGGAGTATTCCGTCAGCGTGTCTGTTCGGTACGGCGTCCAGGGCATGTAGTAGATCTTGTCGGAGGCCTGCAGAGGGTCCTTGCACCAGGCGCCCGACTGGTGGTCAGACTCGAATAAGTGTTCGCTCTGGTAAACTCCTTTCAGCAGTCCAGGGCAAAGAAAAACTGTTGTAGGGGAAAAGAATTTAAAAGAAAAACAGAAGTTAATGACAGTTCAGGGGTGGCTGGCCCAAGCATCTCAACAGCTTCTAGTCCCGGAGCAGAGGACACTTGTGATGAGCGGAAACCCAAGAGCAATGCCTTGTAGCTGGAGACTAGCTTTCCTGCCCACGATATCTCTGGAACGAGATCTGCTCCATCAAACTGGGTTTTTTCCCCCCCTGCTTTTTCTATCAGCTGTGGTTCGTTTTCTTATTGCTTTTCAAATCTATTTTTACAGGTATACTTACTTGGACCACTCGCTTTTGTAAACTCTGAAATGAATATGTGCCCCCAAAGGATTTCTGGGTTTGTATTTCCAAATTATATTCTGCAGTGAATCTGTACCTACTAGGTGAAGAGCTAAACTCCGAGGGAATTGATCCACATATTTATTTGAACAGCCCACAGAAGAGTGGCCTAGAAATGGAAATAAGAGAAAGAAATTCCCATCCTTACAGCCCAAGTGACATTAAATATTTAAAGGATACCAATAGCAAAGCAGAGGTGAATCCCTTAGCAACTCGGAAGAGCATTTAAAGCAAAGGGAGTGTGGGGGGGGGGGGGAACACCCATCTGGAGTATAACTAGGAATGAGACTTTCCAAGCTGCTACAGGACACATGAAACATGCAGTCCACACAATTAAAAACGAATGACATATGGATGCTGAAAGGAAAAGACAAGGAAGAAAGGAAGAAAGGAAAGAGGAAGGAAAAGAATAAAGTTTGCTGGAGAGGAACCCAATGTCTAGATTTTAATCAGTTAAAAAATGTCCTGTTAAATATAGTAGTAATTCAAACTTAAAAACATATACCTTCTATTGTTACATGAGAGGAGCACAGAGGAGCAGTTTGACTAACTGGAATGCTTTGCTGCTCAGACTTCGGGGCCAGGGCACACCCAAGACCTGGGAAGAGGCTCAGCCACTGCCCAGCTGACCTCAGCCCCACGGGAACACCACCACCCAGGGGCCAGCCGGCTGGATGGGGAGGCAAGAGGAGGGATGCTGCGGAGCAAATCTGGCCCTCGCCATGCCCATCAGCAACCTCCTGGCCTGGAGGCGCTGCACACGCTTCAGGGGGAGAATATTGGTTGGTTATTTGGAACGCTGATCTCCGCGATCCACGAGAGGCACGGTGACCGTGACGATGGGGTGGGCGGCAGGGAGGCATGAAGAAGTATCCCACCGCGCGCTTCCGGCAGCACGGGGCTGGCAAGATGGGATCCCACATTCACACTTCCTGCTCGGAGCATAATTGATTATTTTTTGTAAATGCAGAAATTGATAATGTTGTCTGGAGAGCAAGACAGGAGGAAAATCAGATTTAATAACCAGTATAAAATTATATAGATCCATTGGAGTCTAAGTAACCACGCAGAGTTGCTGAAAAAGGGGTGCCATTTCCAAGAGGCTTTTATGCCATAATTAGATATACTTATGCGCATACATATGTATGCACACCTTCCAAATTCTTTGGGGCAGGAAAATGAGAGTTATCTAAGCCTCTGAATATAAATTTAATGAAAAAAAAAAAAGAAAAAGGTGGCACTGGTAAAAACTTTTCAGCAAACGTGAGTTATCTGGTGAAGTTGAGCAGCAGAGGTACTAAATAAACTTTAACAAAAAGGTAGTGAGAATTAATGACAAAGTATTTCAACTAAAACGTTAAACTGTTAAATAACTTAGCCTATACATAAGTAATATATATATATAATTTGAAAGGTATTTAATTACCTTTTTGTTCCACTTCTATTGTAGAGAGAGAGGTAAAGAGAGAAAGGAGAAAAGAGAATAGATTAATGGTACTGTATTGGCCAGGTACTTTTCTTTACCTCTTTCATAAGAAAAGGAAGATTTATTAATTTACTTTGGTATGTGAACATTTATATATATATAAATATATATAAACCTTTCCTCTGATATATACACTGGATAATATGCAGACAAGCTGAACAAAATACAGATAAATTTTAACTTGAGAAAAATCTGGCAGAAGAAAAAAAAAGCCCAACACTTGGGATGCAATGAGCCCCCGGGACTCTACCTTGTCAGCAGCAACCTTGGACTAGTTTCATAGAGCAAAATGAAATATCCATTAATAGATAGAGCATTATGCATAGAATAAAAATTCCAGGGAGAAACTTTATATAATATACATCTTCATACGTTTTGCCAAAATCCTGTAAAACAGAGATCCCTACCTAAAATAGGAGAATATTAACTTATGACGTGAAAAAAACCAACTTAGGAGAGTCAAATGAAGCACGTCCGTGGATGTTCATAGAGTCCTGTCCTTTGTCTTGGAGAAACACACTTTAGTAAGAGTTGGAAAAAAACACTGGAAACATTGCAGCACTTAGAAATAAGATCCCAAAGATTCACAGTGTTAACGAGACAAAAATATGTAAGCACTATTTTCAAAGCTCAACCCCAGAACTTGCTGGATATTTCAGTGTGAATTATCCACCATTGATTATAATGCTGCTGAAGAGACTGTGTCCCTTTGGGCAAAGCCCCTTTCAGGTGGCATAAATAAATGAAGTGCGCTTATTAATTCCTGAATACACAATACTAGTTTCTATACCTAACATCCTCCTGCAAGAAAGTTTGGGGGTCCTCATCCAAAAGCCTCCTGCAGCTGTGGCACAGGCCCTGACTTCTCCCAGCTTGGTGGGGACCCAGCAGCCTCCACACCCCCAGCCCTGCGGTTTGCTGGTTCCACGGGGCCTCTTCCCCGAAGGTGCAAGAGAAGACAGGCCCCATGAAATAACAGAGGGAGAATTGAGAACTTGCCAGCAAACCAGGATGGCTTTGACAGCTGAGAGATCTCTGTTTGGAGAAGCGAGACAGGAATGCGAAGGTGTGCACGCGTGCTTTGGTTTTGTTGCCCAGAGTTCACTCTAGCCCCTTCCAGGCCGAGACACCTGACAAGTGTCCTCTGGTGCTTGCATTGCAGAACTCTTTGCATTCAAAAGTCTCATTCATTTGGATGAGAAATTGCAGGCTCAGAGGAAGAACAATTTCAGGGGAGGGCTGCAAATGCTCTGGCTAGACATGGATCTACACGTCCCTGTCCAGAGAGGCATACAGCTGGAGCCAACTGCAGCTCCCATAACAAGTGTTTCCAAACTCCAACAGCCTTTTTTTACCTGGGCTTTGATTCAGGCTCCTTTCTATCTCATAATAGGTAAAGGTTAAAGGCAAATGTTTTCAACATGTGGCTGTCAGGGCCCTAGGGACCACAGACAATGCATTTGAGTGCAATCTGGTTTTGTAAGGGAAGGAGCCAGCAAGATTAAAGGGCTCCAGACACAGCAGAGAAACCCACACACCACTTGTTCTCCCCATCCTGGGCTGTGGCTGGTCACAGTTAAGTAAGGTATTCAGAAAAGCATTAAATGTCCCTGGCAAAAGCAAGAAAGCAATGTGACAGATCCCCAGATGTATGGCTTCACGCTGATTCCGCTGGCTGATGGTATACAGCACCTCTGGCAGCATAGAAGGCAGTACTTTACATTTCCAAATGCACAAAAGCTTTTGTAATGCGTTCAAACAGCATGATATTGTAAAGCAGGGAGAGAGAGGCTTCTAGAGGAGATAATATATTTGTGACCAGCTGATCTAAGTGACCTGAAGTGTTGATTACCCTTATCCTGAATAGCTCATATGTGTTATTAACACTCAGTGCTGTATCCAGCTCTCTTATAATTCCAAACACAGATGTGTTTTGGTGACCTTCTGAACGGTGCTTGCATTGTATGTGTCACAAACACCTATTTTCCCTCTGCTAATTTAAGACTTAATGCTTTTGAATTTCAATAATTACTCAGCTTACACTGGGGTGCCATATTCTTCAGAGAAGTTCCATGAGAAGCTTGGAGGATTTAGATCATTGAACAATATTAAAAGAAAGGGTCTAATTAGAGTCTGATTATCCCTTCAGTTACACAACATACCACTGCAAAACTGTCTTCATAAAGTAATGGTAGAATTTTTTAAAATTTTGCCCAGTTACAGACAATTTTACATCTCTGTAATGCCTGTAGCAGACTACAGAATTTAAGTACTGATGACAGCACAGGGTGCACCTTACTTACCTACAGTGATCTACAGAAAAAAAAAAAACAGGCATACACAACTTTTATTCTTACAGTGATGTCTTCCATTCCCGCTGTCACTGCATGGGTGGGTATTTCACCTTGATTCCCTACAGTGGTTGCCAGTGCCATTGACTTCAGCAGTGTCAGGGGCCAAAAGGAAATCGAGGACCACTTGCTGTGTCTGAGGGGACCTACTAACAAGACTTTCTGCATGCACTGATTTTCTCATGATTCTTCAGACGGAAGGAAAACTGAGGACAACATACAATCATGGCCCACTACAGCCTGTCCCCAAGCAGTCTCCTGCCACCCCTTCAAAGAAATCACACAAAAGCATTAATTAACTGTTCTTAGCATTGCTGGGTTGAGGCACTGAAAACACACTCTGGCACAATTAACACTTGAACAACATTAACTGCTCATTTTCTTACCGCCACATTGAATTGCACTCAACTATTTAAAGCACAAGCACACAGTGGCAGAGACATATAGAGAGCTGTCTCCCTGGCACTGCTTCAAACCCACACAACAGCAGCATAAAACTCCTGGAAAAAAAAATATGTGAGTAGGGGAATGTCAAAAGGCAATTGCAAAAGTAGTGCAAAAATGTGTGTCCTATATTTTGCTAGTTGTTTGTTTAATTTTTCTTTTTTCAAGGCAGATGTTTAATACTGGAATAAGTGACATCCACTCCGTGCCCCTGTCCCTCACAGATCTGATTGATTTAATATACTCAGACTAATAATTAACACACTCAGCACTAAACCCATAGTTAATGACAAAACAGAAGGACTGAAAATGCCAGGTTTTTGTGGCTGACCTTAGCACAAGCTGCAGCTTCTCAGCCATGCTGAGAGTGTTTTTCATACCAGACATGGTTGCTGCATCTCAAACTCACAACCAACTTGACCACATGCATAGGCAGGTAAAGCTGAAAAGCAATTTATGTGTTTCTCCCTAACACACAGCCCCATCTGTGGGTCCTAGTTTGAACAGGGATATGTTTGTGAAGCTGCAAATCTACCAAGTCACCCCAAAGCAAGCCCGTGCAGAGCCCGCTCACAGATGAAAGTGCTCTTCTTTTTTGAAGGCATGGTTGAGTCCTGGAGTCACAGTAAAAAAAAACAAGAGACGTGTTCAAAATTCGGGGCAGCAGCAGACCTGAAATAAATATACCTAAACCCAGGGAATGAAAATCACAGAATCACCAAATGGTTTTGGTTGGAAGGGACCTTAAAGATCATCCAGTTCCAGCCACCCAGCCATGGGCGGTGACACATTCGGCTATGGCACATTGCTCAAAGCCTCATTAAAACATGAAAATACTTTAAAAAAAAAAAAAAAGAAAAAAAAAGGCATTTCAAACCCACTCAACCACCATATATGGTTTACCAGAGGAAAAGCTAAGAGAGATAGCTTGGCATTTATGACATACTCTGGCAACCTGAAATTCAACATGCTGCAGAAGTACCCATCTCTGCTGCTTTTTCTTCTCCCCACACATAACTAAAGTGACAAAAGAGACCACACAGCCAAGTTCAGTGCTCACTCTGTGCAGCACAGACACAAAGTACATGGCACCACTTCTCTCATCCACCCACTCCTTCTAGGAAAGCCTGGGGTCCCATTGCAGTGCAGGTGGGCGATCACCAGATCCCAAATACCTTGATAATGGGAACACAGCCACATCCACTGCAGAAAGCTCCACCAGCAGAAAGTCAGAAGATATTTTGCCTCTAGGCAAAGGAAACCAAACAGCAATACAATGGTCTTTGGGTTCACTCCCTCCACTGCAACTATCCTCTCTAGAGAAGACACAATGACCAGACTTTGTCCCCAACCTCCACATCAAGTTGTCCCCAAATCACAACTACACTCCAGTCCTGTCAGTCCCAGTGAAACACTCATTTTCTGAGCTTTTAATGTGAAAAGTATGAACTTGCAACAGGGGAAAACCTCTTGAGTCTTGGCTCAGGGAGCAAGCACAAAGAATGGAAGAATTACGTTTTCTAAGACTATTTTACAAATACATACAAGTAATGCTATTTTTCCATTTTTTGCTGCCAAGTCTTCCTTTACTTTTTCTTTTTTTCCTCAACATGACGGGTTTTCTAGAACACATTTGAATGGAGAACAGACCCCATTAACATTACTGGAATTTTCAGTCCAAGAGCAACCTGACACTTGAATGTAAAGCACTCAGACTTTCATTCTCCAGCCAGAGGAATGAAGAAATTATTCTTATCAAGTATATCACCATGAATTATCTTCCCTGTGGCTGACAATTTCTCTTACGAAAAAACATTCAACCTCAAGCCTCTCCGATGGAGTTCTCCACCAGACAAAAATTATTCTACAGGCTAAGCTTTAAAGTTTGCTCAGGTTTAAGCTATTACAGTGGTGGGAGAAACTTAGTTTGTAACATTATTTTAAGGTCTCAGTAAACAGAGTACTTCCTTCTTCTTGGCTGTATGTAACTATGTGTGCACATTAGACTCCCTCCTGTAAAATTGGGGGGAAAAATTGATTTATTGCACAGGAGACATGCCTGCTTTTTACAGCAAATGAAGAGTTAATCCTTTATTTAATAAAAGGAAGAAATAATTTGACTTAACTTCCAGATTACATTTTTCATATAATATCCAAGCA